CAGCAGCTGCTTGCCAAAATAAATAAATAAATAAATAAATAGGAAAGAAAAACCCAGCCACAAACACTGTGTACCATAGTGCTTTGAATGATGGTGGCATAAACCTTCCTGGAACAATCTTATTATTTAGGAAGAAACAAAAGCTAGAGTTCATATAGGACTTCCAGTTTGTCTGGCTTTGTGGAATAGAAGTTATTGGTTATTGGCTGAGGCTGAGGTGCATTGGGAGTCTAGAACTAGTAAATTTCTCATTTTATAGTCAAAATATATCAACTTCAAAGGAAAAAAAAGCAATTTTTAAATGTCAGCTAATCCAGTCAGTGTCAACAGGTGGTTAGGGAAATCTTTTTGCTCCAGAAGCAGGTGGGCATTTCTCCTGGAGAGTGAGGACCAGGATCTTGAAATGCATCCCATGCAGACATCTTCCTGTGCATGGTGGATGCTCAATTCTGAGCTAAGTAGGGGTTGGAAGAACCCCATGAGGCTCTTCTGGCCCCAAAGGGATGCTGTTTATAAGCACATTAGCTACTGTCTTAAAATGACAGGCTTCTGCCTACATCCCAATAATCTACTCTCCAAGAGCCTTTGATATGCATTTCCCTTTGACTTCAGAGAATTATAAACATACTTATTCTAAAGCTCACGGGCTCCTGCATAAAAAGCTCCCTGGTGTAAGCATAGAAAGAGATATAGAATGTGTAGACTACCCAGACTGTTTTCTATGCCACGGAGTGGAGGCTTCAGGTTCATTTGTGAGACAGTCAGACCTCAGAACACTGAGGCTGTAACTAGAACCAGCTAGTCTCACCTTGGCCAGGAGAATCCAGCAACAGTGATTCACCTGGATGAAGCACCCGCCTGGATAAAGCATGCAAAAGTCAGGAGCAGATCCAGGGCTTTCCATGCATTTGCTCCTTTATTTCTCATAGCAAGCCTCAAAAATAGAAACTACTGCTACTCCCATTTACAAATGGAGAGACCAAGGCACAGAGAGGTTCAGTAACTTGCCCAAATTGACACTGATGCTAAGATGTTTCTTGCTTTATTTTATTAACTGCAATTCATTCACTTAGACTAGCTATGAAATCTGGTATTAATCAAGTAGGAGAGAGGACAAGGAACCTACAGGAAACTGTTTAGAATAAGTGCCAAGGTAAGAATGAGTGCTCAACTTGTGATGTTTGGTTTTCAATAGCTGTGATACATCTACATCACAGCTGAGATTTAGCAGGTCATTGGATACCCAGATCCAGAGTTTAAAAGTAGACTAAGCTGAAGATAGAATTTGTGAGGCATCAGCAGAAAAGGGAAGTTCGACCCATGAGACTAGATGAGGGTGCCGAGAGTGAGCTCTCAGCCTGGGGGATGAGACTAGAAGAGGGCCCAGGGCAACACCACTGTGGCAACTGTAGGCAGAGGGGAGGAGCAGGCAGAGGCCGAGGGCACAAAAGCCGAAGAATGGTGTGCAGAAGAGAGAGGCCCAGCACATCAGATTTCTCAGAAGAATCAAGTAAAATGAGGCACACAGGTGGCTGAGGCACTGGCACTCAGGATACCAAGGGTGGCCTCCAATGGAGTGTTGGAGCCACTGAACACTGCCAGAGAAGCCAGATCATGCCATGCTGAAAAAGAAGACGTGTGGCTTGAGGGATAAGAGGAAATAAGGTTGGAAGGGCACAGAAGAGAGGATGGGGAGCTACATGCTAATGAAGTTCAAATCGTTGGGCTCTTATACTCTGCATTACATTCTTTTTCATCTGTCTACAGAGGCTCACAACAGATCATCTTAATGACTTCACCAGGGTCATAGATAACATTTAATGAATACTTTCTATGAGACGAGCTCCTAACTTCAATATCTAATCGTGAGCCTTATACCAAGTCTATAGGACAGACAGCATCATTATCTTCAATTTAAAGATGGGAACAGTAAGCGTTAGGGTGTTGAAACAACTTGTCTGAAGCTGTAGAGTCAGGGACAGGCAGAGCCAAAACACAAACTCAGGCAGTCTGTATTCAGTCATTTCATGATTAAATATTACACTATGATCTTTTGACACAAAGAAACGCATAATTTACAACCCATTTTCCTGGCATTATATATCCAGGTGGCTTCTGCTCTTTTGCCCTGCATGTGGCTTTAAATTTCTGCTGAGTTAATTAATGTGTTTCCACAGCGGCATCTCATTGCTCCTTACTTGTCAAGGAGTGACTAGCACTCAGAATACTGTGGGTGGGCTGATTTACAAAACCAAATACTGTTAGTCCCCCCCAAAAAAGGGAAAGAAAAGGAAAGAGAGGTATTCTTTCAGGAAATCCACCTGGTTATACACTGAAATATAAATGCTTATCCCAAAGAACCTTAAAGGAAAACATGTAACTGGTGATTGAAACGGGTTAAATGCAGAAAACCATGCTGAACACAGCACTCTAAAGTCATTTCAAAATATTTTTAGAGGCTTTCATAAATACTTTGCCAAAAAAGATGAGAAACACTACACTTAGCAAGGCAAAATTTAACCCCAAGACCTTGAGCAATAGTTGATAAATGTTCAAGAGCATATTTTTTTGTCTCAGAATATAACCCACTAGAAAATAATTTCAGAACACTAAGTCTTCAAGATGATATTCTTTTTATGTTTAAGATTTTATTTATTTCTTTTTAGAGAGAGGGAGAGAAACATCAATGTGTGGTTGCCTCACGTACACCCCCTACTGGGAACCTGGCTTGCAACCCAGGCATGTGCCCTAGACTGGGAATCAAACTGGTTACCCTTGATTTGAAGGCCCCCGTGCAATCCACTGAGCCATACCAGCCAGGGCTCCAGACGGTATTCGTAAATTAATATTACCACTGTGAAAGCTTTGTGTTGAGGAACTTGAACTCTCTAGACACCCCCAGCCTTGCCAGTCCTATCCTGCAAAGACTTTTCCAGACCAGTGTTCTCCAGGACGCCTGCCTGAGACCCCAGTGGGAAATACATCTTGGCCCAGTATATGCCTGTGTGTGTCCATGTGTGCACAAACGTATACTCATCGTACACATACCTGCATACATTTAACTGAAGCATATCTTTCACAGGATCAACACTTATCCTCACCATGTGCAATTAACTCTAATCTTCTCTTTTCTATCTTATTTTATTTCTTAAAAATTGTGTTGCTAACACACAAAGTTGTTTCACGAGTGCTTAAAGAGTTGCAATCTACGGTTTAAAAACTCTGTTTTAAAATATCTAAATTCAAGTGCTCCAGACAAAAGAATTGCATGAGGAAGAATCTGCAATTCTTCTGTCTGGAAAGTATATAAGCTTTAAAATTAGATGGCCATGGGGTCTAATCACACCTCTCCAATGAACAAGCTGTGTGCCTTGGACAAGTTAGTCGATCTCTCTGACCCTCCATTTCCTCTCCATAAACCTTTGGGACTGCTGGGAGAATGAAATGAGAAGACACCTGTAAAAGCACCTAACCCAGCACTTAGTAGCACTGAATCCATTCATTCGTCCAACAGATCTTTACTGAGCATTAGATGTTGACTTAAGGGCTGGGCAGAGCCAGTGACACCTCTGCTTTCCCAGGGCTGGCATTCCGGTTGGCAAAGATAGTAAGCAAATAAACATAGACTATGTCAGGGAATGATAAGGGCTGTGCTCATTTCCTATTGCTGCTGCAACAGATTACCATAAACCTACTGACTTAAACAACACAAATGTACTATCTTACAGTTCTGGAGGTCAGAAACCTAACATGGGTCACGTTGAGCTAAAATCAAGGTGAGGTCAGGGCTGCATTTGGTTTTTGTTTTGTTGTTTTTTGGAGGCTTTAGAAGAAAAATTACTTCCTTGCTTTTTCAGTATTCTAGAGGCAGCCACACTCACTGGCTATAGCCCCTCCCATCTCCAAAGCCTGCAACAGTCGCTTGAGTCCTTGTCACTTGAACCACTTTGACTTTGCTCCTGTGGGCACATCCCCTTCTCTGCCTCTGACACTCCTGCCTCCCTCTGTTAAGGACCCATGTGGTTAGACCGAGTCCACTTGGGTAACCCAGAATAATCTCTTCATGTCAAGATCCTTAAATTAATCACATCTACAAAGTTGTTTTTGCTGTGGAAGGTAACATACTCGCAGGTCCCAGAAAATGGGATGTCGCCTTTGAAGGTGGGGTGAGGGGATGTTTCTGCCCACCACAAGAGCAATGACAAAAAATAAGGCAAAGTAAAGGGGACTTCTGCCTGTTGATGGAGTCACCAACCAGGGGTAATACTAAGAACAAAGCCGAATAAATGTCTTTTTTTTTTCATTTAGTATTTGCAATGGCAGGAACCAGCCTTCATTCAGTAGGTCTAGGGCACCAAAATGGCCAGAGGCATGAGACAGCTTTCATCATATACTCTTCTCAGATACAGTCAGTTACTGGGAAGGCACTCTTCTCAGATACAATCAGTACCTGCAACTCCAGAGAAGTTGTGAATTGGATAATCTGTGATTTTTGGCAATATGTCCCTCAATTCTTGGGTTCCTGAGCAAGTCGTAGCTACAGAGTGAGCCTAGGGAACAGCCAGGTATCTGCATCCCAGGGACCTTCCATTGGTCTTGCCCACTAGACACTTCTGTTTAGTAATTTTGCTGGATCTGCCTCCATTGCTTTCATTTGCAAACTCTGGGCATGAAGTTGGGGGCAGGGGGTCAACTAATGAAAGTTGAAGATAAACAGTGGAAGTTCAAAGGATACACTTGTGTTAGGGTATGCCCAGAAATGTGGCAAGGACAAAAGCCAGTGGCCTAAATGAACATCCCTGTGTTTGTGAACTTGGGGCTGCACTGAAGCATCAGGGTCCTCAGTTCAGTGTCTTTTCTCCTGCATTTGGGGATGAGAGAATCACTTACCCAGTCACGACCACATGGCTGGCTCTGTGTTGGTCACACAATCAAAGAAGCATGGAAATCCCTACAGGTCTGTGCTGGCCATGTGTAATCTTGGTGCATTTTTTTTTCAGGGAAAACTCGATGCCTTGTGGGTCCTGCTAAGGAAAGGATATGATCGCGTGTCCGTGATGCGTCCACAGCCAGGAGACACGGTAGGATTCAGTAATGGTGTCACACACACACACACAGTCTTTTTCTGTCTCCCTGTCTCTGTGGAGCTAGAATAACTCTAAGTAAACAAATCCAGCTGTTATGTCATGCAGTGACAAATAAGATAGTAGTTTTCAAAATCCTGTGTTATGTAGAACATTGAGTTTTGACTTGCTTTTATGAAAAGAATTCTGGCAGAAATAAATTGGGTTTAGCTTCCTAGGACCAGAACTTAATGTATAGGTATGGTGAGTAAATACAGACAGGCTGGTTCTTACTTCGGGCCACCCCATGAGAGAGGCCTGCTGCTCCCCGCCACTCCGGGCAGTGGTGACAAACAGGATGCCAGAGCCACAAGACAGGGCAAGGAAACAGTGGCCACAGAAAACCCCCACCATCTTCCAGCAGGTATTGGGCCCAAATAGTCCAAAATCACAGAAGGACCTTCTACCCTGGTAAGATTTGACTGAAAACTGTCCGGGCCAAGCATGGAGCACCTCCAAAAACAAGGATTTGGAAAGGGAGGAGCCAGGAGAGACCTGAGAAGCCATCTGCCCTTGTCTTCATTTTGTAAATGAGGACAGTGAGGAGCTGAATCACTTGTTCTATTCATTCAGTATCAACACTGGAAATAGCCTTGGTTCTGCTGAAGTCACAGCATTGCTGTGAGAACAAGTCTCTCTTTCATACATTTAACAGAGCAAAGCTTGGAACCAGCCTCTCCCTCAACTATCAGCAACCTTCACCTTCCATCTGCTTCTCAAGGAATCAGGCACATTCACCCAAAAGCAGGATGAAGGTGTCTAATTTAGAACTCTCTTCAAATCAGGCAGAGTGGGACTTGAATCTGATTTCCTTCCTGGTTGGAAGTTAACTCTAGGCAAGTCAATTAACCTCTCTGAACTTGATCTTTATAAAGCAGATGATAATAACTACTTCATAGTGTGACTGGTTGGAGAAGGTAATGTTACAAAGCATTTGGCCAACACGGAACACATAGTCATGCCCAGTCCATGGCAGGTATTTGTTTTGTGCTTTTCTACAGTCTGCAGAGGAACGATGCAAAAATCCAAACCACAATGCAGCCAGCGTGCATCGAATGTGCCGGTATCTTAGCCGCATCCACTCTTCAACACGGCACAGCTAATAAAACAGGAAAGCAGAGCCTGTTAGGCAGGCCCCTCTCCTTCACACCTGGTGACAATGGAAGGTTTGTCGCTGAGATTTGGTCTAAAGTGTCATTGTTTGTGCAAGCTACCGCCCAATTAACTGTTCATGATCCAGGTTGTGGCAGGGACAGCAGGCCAGTATGACATGTAACAAACCAGGTCATAGAAATGCTGGGCCACAATGGCCCTTTAGACATTTGGATTTGGATTTTGTCTATGAAAGCCAACAAGAAGACATTGCTATAGCAAATTTTATTTTATTTTTTAAGATTTTATTTATTTATTTTTAGAGAGAGGGGAAGGGAGGGAGAAAGAGGAAGAGAAACATCAATGTGTGGTTGCCCTTTCACATGGCCCCCACTGGGGACCTGGCCTGCAACCCAGGCATGTGACCTGACTGGGAATCGAACCAGTGACCCTTTAGTTCGCAGGCTGGCACTCAATCCACTGAGCCACACCAGCCAGGGCTGCTATAGCAAATGTTAAAGTACGAATTCTACAGTTAAGAGAAATGAGCCTATGCCATAAACTTTATACCCAGGGTGGTATTTGGCCTTAAAAGTTGTATATCTGGTTTCTGTGGAAAATTAAATTTTCTTTAGCATGTATGGGATTCATCTAACAAATGAAGAAAAAAAACAGTAAGCTACCTCAGTCAGGGTCAGCAGTACTATTTTTTTGTGATAGAATGTTCTAGTCCAGTATACAAGCCCATTTCAGAGCAACTGAAAAACATTTCCACCAAATCTGTTAACATTTCATTCTCCACTGACCAGTTTGGCTGAAACAAATTCACAAACTAGGTCAACCTGAGAAGTAGAAGGGGTTTGGAAAGAGGAGGGGTAGAAAGAAATATTATCATATGTAAGATATAAGAACGAACTGGGGGCAAAAGGCTGATTGAAAAAATCCGGCAACAATGAAATGAAAACATAGAATTTCCTCTAATAAATAACATCTAAATTGAATCTCTCATTTACTACTTCTGAAGATGTTCTGTATGCTTTTGAGAAACACAATACCGCCTTGAATTTTCATTCTCCAATCACAAAAAATAGTAGGTTCAAAGTCCAGGAGGTCTTAGACTTAGGACATAGTTGATTCAGTTCTGTCACAAATTATCGTTGTCGCCTCCTTTCAAAAGGGCTTTCTTTATAAAATTCTACGACACATGGGAGAAATAGATGCAGAGAATTGTGCCCATGTAGTCATGACGATGGCCACAAAAATCTTGTTGCACACACAGAGTTACACAAGAAAGGTCACAGATCAGTTAGGAACAAGAATTCAAAGCTGCCTTGTGGCAATTCAGAAGAGAATTCAAGGGAAGGGAAGACTATATTGTGTCTTTGTCTATATGCTTATTCTGTTTTGTTTTGCATTACTGTAAGAGATTTTCAACAAACCTACTTACACGGTGATGACTCTTAAGAATTCCTCAGCACTGATTTATGGGGCTGACCACATTTTCCATAAACTCAAAATGACTACATCCAGGCATGTCCTCATGAACATGAGTCATAGGTTCTGGATTTTTTGGGAAAAAAAAAACAAACAAAAAACAAAAACAAAAATCACCTAATTATTTTCTCAGTTGATTCTAAATTCTTTCAAATGCACATAGACCTCACAGAAACCTGGCAATTCTTCCTTCCCAGTTCCTGTGTCCTCCCCCCAGTTAACCCTACAAATTCAGACTCAGTCTCATCAACAGCGCTTTTGAGGCTGCTGAAAGGGCTGAGCACCTGCAGGCCCCACTGCAAGGCAGGTGGTAGGGGAGGCTCGAGCCCATAGCCACACCCTTCCCTGGGAGAGGTGCCGACCTCCTCAGAGCTGCCCAAGCCTTAGGTCAGAGAGAACACAAATGGGACGACAGCAGGAGACCTGAGTGCTTACTATCTGCCACCACTCATCTCTCCCTTTCTGCCTGGGGTGGGCTCACAGTCCTATTTTTCCTTAGAGCCCACCAGGAAGTCCTGGGCCAGCGTAAACCAGAAGGTGCCAGAAGAAGCCACTTAAGTAGCAAACTGGCAACACATCTGATCCTAAAATTGAAAGAGTTCACTGAGTATATGGTATCCTTTGCTTAAACCATCTTCCCACATATACACTTCCAGTGTGTAGCCTCTGCTGCGCTCTTTCTAAAACATAAATCTCAATATGCCCTGCCAAGGCTTCAGATTTGCAAAGATGAGGAAAAAGCCCAGAATCCACAGCTTGATTTAGAAAGGCCTCCCTTTCCATCTCATCCACTGCTCACCTCAGGTTCTCTCATCACTCCACAACTGCCCCGACTGCCTGGAATTGCTCACCATTCCCTGAGCAGGCCAGAAGCGTTCAAGTCTCTGTGCCTTTTCGTATTCTGGTTTCCCTGCTGGAAATGCCTTTTCTCTACCTAGTAAACCATCGCCTCAGCAATGTCGTTTGTTGTTCTCTGCAACCACGGAGAGTTGCTGTCCAGACCCACACTGTACAGGGGCACTGCCCCAGCAGCAAGCATTTAGACACCAAGCAAAGTATGGAGATCAGAACCTGTGTCCCCTGAGCATTTTCCAGGATGGTCTCCAAGACTTCCTGCACACCTGGACACTCTTTGAGTTTAGAAGATTGGTTCACCTTTCAAGGACAAATGTGGAAGGGATTCAGAATTTTCATCTGAGAAAGTTTTAAAGGCACCCTCAGTGCGTTTTAATTTGGTCCTGTCTCAGTCATCACATTATGCGTTCCATCTTGTAAACTTCTTTAAAAATCACTTAACCATATTGAAGGAATAATCTTTCCACGTCACCACATATCTTGGTATAATATCATTTTAATGACCGTGTCATATGCTATTGTCTATGACAAAATATTTCTGCCTGTGTACTCCTTTTAAACATTTATTTCTAAATGTTTACTGTTATAAATGAATCTTAAATCCGTATCCTCGTTATCAAAATAGTATGCACATTCATGTACATTTCCTTAGAATAAGTGTCCAAAACACAACAGCACGCAAAACTGTGAAGCTCTGATACATGTCACCAAACTGCCCCCTGAAACAGTGTGTGGGGTAGCCCATATGTCCACATCTACAAAAGCCCGTCTCCCCAGATGTTCACCAATATTATTAAAGTTAGCTATTTGATAGGTGCTTTTTATTGCACCACCTAATTTTATTGAGGTGGAGCAATTTTTTAAGGGTTTATTTCCTCTTTTATCAATTCTATATACATGCCCTTGGCCCTTTTTCAATTTTAGAATTGATTTCGTATGTCCATTTGCTCCACCATCTTTGTGCATTCATGTTTCAAGAGCCTCATATGTGTCAGACGTTGTGCTGTGCACTAAGTACACTTACCTTTTGATGCTTAAAGTCTAATGTTATGTACAGAGTCAGAGTTTTTCCCAGTCTGTTATTTACCTTTTAGCTTTTTAAGAAATATATTAAAGTTATCTATAATTTCATAGTCAAATCTATAAATCTTTGTAATGTCTGCCTTTGGTGTCAAACTGAGCATTGTCTTCCCTACTCCAAGAGAACATAAATTTTCACAAAAATTTTCTTCCACTGTTTCTGCTCCCTCTGACTTAGCTTTGAGTGGTAGTGTGAGTTGGCACCTATTCTGTATCTTCCTAGGTACTTTATTGTATATCTGGGGAAAGTGCCTTTGGGAGCTATCAGCCATTTGTTATATTAAACTAGAAGTCCTGGAGCATTATCTGAATGTCTTTTAAGTATGGAGTGTGACTTGAATTTACTCTGGGTCATCCAAAAGGACAGCACTAGAGCCACAGGTAGAAGGTACAATGAAGCAGACTTCATCTTAAAGAATTGAAGGACAAGAGTTTCG